GTGTGTATATATTATATATTTTATATATTGATATGTTATTCATATATTTATATAAATATAATAATTATTTTTATAAGGGAAAAAACCCTCATTATTTACATTTCAATTTTGTAAAGAAAATTAAAACTTCTAAGAAAAACTGTTTTCTGTCAATGTGTGTATATATTATATATTTTATATATTGATATGTTATTCATATATTTATATAAATATAAGAATTATTTTTATAAGGGAAAAAACCCTCATTATTTACATTTCAATTTTGTAAAGAAAATTAAAACTTCTAAGAAAAACTGTTTTCTGTCAATCAAAATTAGCTTTTCTAGCCACAACAAAGCAGTCTTGAATAACAAGACTTGAATGTAATACACATTGTGTAAAAAAATTAGGAAAAAAAATCACTTCGAATGGTTTTCCCTCAAAAGAAAATTAGTAAATAGGGACAGATATACACATACATACTCATGACACAGAAGTCAGTGCTACCTAAACTTACCAAGCTTATTTGTCATAATACAGATGGAATATAGAAACTAGAATTCTAAATATATACTAGAAAGTTAGATTTTATAAATAGTTGAAAAAACAAAAGTTAGTCCACAGAAGAAAACAAGTCACCTTGCACATATTTGATACAGAGTCAAAAAATTCCACATTGTTTGCTGATGAAAAAGCTTTGTGTTTCTATATATGCCTATCAGTTACTTAGTGAGTTCATGCCTTTATGTGGAGCTGGAAAGATGTGAGAACACCCAATTTCTCCATCTTGCCCTACAGTTAGGGGCACTAACAAGGCAAGACTAAAAAAAGAAGATTTCACAAAGGATATAATAACAAACTGAAAAATTTTTAGACACCAAATTATATTTTTTTATATAGATAGCTTGTGGGATAATATGACTCTATCTAACTCTGTGTAACTGGAAAGCCAGAAGGAAAGAGAAGAGAGAGTTGAGGGGATGTAGGAAGAACAAAAAAACAACAAATGACTTCTCATTAGTTAAGTTAAAGATGCCTATTGTAAACTTTAGAGCAATTACAAAATAAGTAAAATAAAGGAGTATTCATAATAAGCCAGATGAGAATTTAAATTAAAATAATAAAAATATTCAATACAAGAGAAGTCAGATAAAGATGGGAAAAAAGGAACATAGATGGGACATATGGAAAACAATGAGCAACATGGAACATTTAAAAACATATCACTATTACAATAAATACAAATAAAATAAACACAGAAATTAAAATAGGCTTTCAGACTAGTTTTAAAAAAACAGAAAAACAAGACCAAATTATATGCTACATGCCTAGAATTTGAAACAGCCCAAATGTCCATCAACATGGTGAATACAGAAGCAAATTTGTTATTATCGTATAATGCAACACTACTCAGCAACAAAAATGACTAAGCTATTGATATAATTAACAACGTGGGTAGATATCAAAATATTGTGCTGAGCAAAATAAGACACAAAATACACACAAATGCTGGATGACTCTACTTTCATAAAGTAATAGAAGACCCACAACTACTCTACAGTGACAGAAATCAGATCTACACTTTCGTGGGGCTAGGCAGGGGTATGGGGCTGAATAAGGGAACCATGATAATTTTTTTTTTGGGGGGGGCTATAGAAATATTTTACTTCTTGATAGGGATGGTATTTAAACATCTGCATGCCTCTGAGATACATCGAGCTCCATATTTAAATTGGGAGAATCTATTGTATATTGTGTAAATGATAATAAAATAAAGAAAGAAAATTACAAATTAATAGAAATAGTATATCCAGAAATGCTCCAAAATTTAGAAATTAAACAACATACATTAAAGGCAGTGTTAAAAAGTGGTTGCCTAAATGTTTAAGAACATATATAGTTTAATTTGAAAGTATAAGTTTAACAATATAATAAAAATGTGAAGACTAATTAGTAATTTATTCCTCCACAAAAAATTACTGATATACACATATATATATATACATACATACACATACATACGTGAAATAAAATAATTACCAATTGAAGCTGAGCGCATTTGTCTCATGTGAGTTTCTATGACGGAAGGATCCCGAGAGCTGTAACTTCCTAACTCAGGATAAAAGCTGGAGCCAATGTCATCTGGAGGGTTGTGTCTCCCTTGTGGATAATTCTTGGCTATTCTAGAGTCCCAGTGCTCCAAGATTGGATGATTCCAATGTATGTATTTACCATCAAATTGTGGATTTCCATACCAACTATAATAAAATACATGTAAATAATAATTCAGAGGTGGAAGTTCTTCCAGGTTAAGTTCAGAGGCTTTTGAAGGTTTCATAGTGATTTCAACACTTTTTAGATTCTTGGTGTTTGTTTCACTGTTGATTCTGTCATTCTTTTGGAAATCAAATTTTTTCCCCAAATGAATAGTTCGTTGATGAAGTTCTGGAAGAAGGTCAAGTCCAAAAGGAGCTGCAAAAGTAGCTGTATTTGGTCGCAGCATTTTTAAACCCATCATCATAGAAAAAATAAAAAGAATAAAAAGTGACAAAATGATGCAAGTCCTTCTCCGAAACTTTGCCATGATGACATATTTTAAACTCCCAAATAGCAAATGTTTTGCTGCAATTTATTGAAAAAAGATAATTAGTAAGTGGTATCAACAATATTTTCCAATATATTCAAAATGAAAACCAAAATCTGTAAAGTTCATTACACTGAAAGTTAAGAAAGTGCATTCTGATATTATATCATCGAATATTGATGTCTGTAAAAGGATCTACATATGGCTAGACTAAATGGCAGTAATGATTTGGAAATATCACCATTTACATGCCAATTAAATTTAATCAGATAAATATTTTAGGAATTTTGTTTATGAAAATGAAATAGATTTTTCATCATTTGGATACATTATGTGTATAATGAATATAGAGAGGGAATATTCTATATAGATGGACTAAATTTTTCAAAACCTAAGTGTAAATTTTTAAAAATCATAGTTAATAAAAGGAAATACTTATGAGCATATTAAAAGCCTAGTCATTAAGTAGGTTTTCAAAAACTTTTTTTTTTTTTAACTAAAATAATGACTAAATTTTTCAAAACCTAAGTGTAAATTTTTAAAAATCATAGTTAATAAGAGGAAATACTTATGAGCATATTAAAAGCCTAGTCATTAAGTAGGTTTTCAAAAACTTTTTTTTTTTTTAACTAAAATAATTTCACAGGAAGGGAGTAATCACACACCTTAAATGACATTTTGAAATGGAATAGAATCAGACAAAAATGTTTAAATTACAGTAAAGAAAAAGAATAATCACAAATTAGATATTCCCAATTTTGAAAAAATTCATGAATTTATAACTGAAAATTTATTGAACAAAGGTTATAAACATTATCATTTCTAAAATGATATTGTATGTCTTTTTATGTTTTAATAAGTGTGTGTACACACATATTGTGTGTGCATATATGAGTACATTTGTATAGGTACATATACATCCTAAGAATAAAATATTTGTTTTTTTTATATACTAATTTCTTATTAGAAAGGTATTTGGTGGAAAGCTTACAATGACTGCTTTATATAATATGACTTTCTATGATACACCATGTTGTTATTCTACAGAATTACGTTAAAATAAACCAACCTTGATAGAAAAGACAGATAAGTAAAACCTCAAACCGCTACTTCTATTATGTGAATATGCAAGAAATACTATGATCAGGCATATTTCTTTTTGAGCTAAAATCACAGAGATTATTTCAAGGTCAACCCTACTTGTGAAATGCATTAAACCTAAAGTAATAATATAAAATACATGTCTAATTTAAAACATATAAATATTCGAAAAGAAAATTGCCAGCTTAAAAGCTCTGCTCCACCTCTTGCACCCCCTCTCAATCACCAGCCCTGCTCCTTCTTGCCCAAGGGCAAAGGCCTGTCTTTTGTGTTTACCATTATCTCACTTTTCTTTACAGTTTTCCCACTGCATAAGCATACCTAACCAATACTACTTTTATTTTGCTTGTTTCAAAACTTAATATTGCATTTCCAAAAGTTCATGGAAAGATTCCTATTATATTTAAATTCTATTTTTTCAAGTACATTTTGACGTACCCTCATATATATATATATATGTGCATATACTATGTATATGTATGTATGTAGCTGTATGTACATGTACATATATACATAGTATATATATATACATACTTCCCTGACACTTTTCCTGGTGTCCTAACTCTTCCTCATTCCTGTATTCTATCACATCGGTTCCCTTTTTTCTCTAATAAAAAGCTATGAAAATGGACTTTTAGCAAAGAAATTGTTGATGGGTCTTTGGATTTTGTTTTAATAATTACATTAATTCAATGGGTTGGTAAAAATCCTTTAATGTCAAATATTCTTTTTCCTCAACTTTGAAAATAAGATTATCAAAGTTAACATTTTCTCTTGTTCCCAAAAGTCTAATTTAGACACAAACACACAAAATAAAGCTTTTAATATTTTACTACGTTAATAGTATGGCTGCATGGATACACTGACCACATCAACAAGCTGGACTCATGATAGTATACTATGTAATCAACCGATAAAATAAGGCATAAGCTAAAATAAGTAGTAGACAGTCGACTTTAAGATGAGAAACAGCTGAATCCTTATTCTTCTCCAAGGAACAAACAAAATTTTATTTGCTTGGAATATCCAAAAAATCTAGGAAAAAAAGTAAAAGTTGTGTAACTCAGTTCAATTGAGCAAACATATTATATAAAAAACACATACTAGGTGTCACATGAAATAAACTGATTGGTAAGACATAGTTCTTGTTTTTGAGGAACTTGAGAGGAAGAGAAGAACAAAAGAACTATGAAACAGACAGAAATCAATTAACAAAATGACAGTATGAAGTCCTTCCCTATCAATAATTACTGAAAATATAAACAGACTAAACTCTCCAATCAAAAGGCGAAGAGTAGCTGAATGGATAAAAAAACAAGACCCAATTATAGGCCACCTACAATAGATTCACTTTAGATTTAAGGATAAACATCAGCTGAAAATGAAGGGATGGAAAATGATATTTCAAAAAATGGCAACCAAAAGAGAACAAGGGTGGCTATACTTCTAATAGACAAAATAAATTTTAACTCAAAAACTGTCACAATACACATGAAGAAGGTCATTACATAAGGATAATAGGTATCAATTCAACAAGACATAAATATAAATATATATGCACCCAACATCAGAGCACCTAAACATATAAAGCAAACACTGACAAATCTGAAAATAGAAATAGCAATAAAATAATCATAAGGACTTCGACATCCTGCTTTAGTAATAGAATTTATGAATTCATACCAATATTCCTAAAAATGTCAAAATAAATAAATGGAATAAAAAACACTTCCCTATATTTATTAATATGAAATAAATATAAAGGAGTAATGGATTTAGACCATCACTATCTGGCCAAAATACTATGGTCTGAATATGTCTCCTAAAATACATGTGTTGGAAACTTAATCCCCAGTGCAACAGGGAAGAGGGGTCTACTGGAAGGTGTTTAAGTCATGGAAGTCTGCCCTCATGAATGGATTAATGCCGCTATAAAAAGACCTTGTGGGAATGGGCTACCTCTCTTCTGCTCTTCTACCATGTGAAGATTCAGTGTTCCTACCCTCCAGAGGACCCAGCATCGAGAAACCATCTTGGAAGCAGAGAGCAGTACTCACCAGCCAAACTTACCAGTGCCATTATCTTGTATTTCCTAACCTCCAGAACTGTGAGAAATAAATCTCTGTTCTTTATAAATTACCCAGTCTCAGGCATTTTGTTTTAACAGCACAAAATGAAGTAAGACACAGAATAATACTTTTTCAGGCAATGTTTATAAATGGATACTAAATGAAAGAGTAAAAGTTTGATGAGAAACAAAAGATCTACATATTGGCAAAGTGTTTCTCCAGAAGATGTGTAACTAATTAAAAAGGGAAACATAATAACAGTGAAGAACCTACCAAACACCAATTTAAACAAGTGGTCAGTTAATTATGGATAAACAGATATGACTATTAGTCTCTAGGGAAGATGCACTAAAATGGATACAAAATCACTGCTGTGGTATTTATTCCTGTAAAAAATTAATCCAGATCTAATTATGAGGAAACATCAGATAATATATTAAAGAGAAGATACAAAAACATACATATTGATACACACACACAGATATATACATATACACACACATGTGTATATGAGCTAAAATCACAGAGCTAAAATCATATATAATGAGCACAGTGCAACATATAAGTGTGTGTGTGACAGTGTGTGTATAAGCAAATGTGGTATAATATTAACCAATATAATAATATAATTGGTGAATATGCAGAAAAAAATACATAGAAATTGTTGAATTGTTTGTACTATTTTTGCAACTTTTCTGTAAGTCTAAAATTATTTGAAAATTTAAAAAAAAAAGAATCCCACCAGCAAAGCACATCTTTTAAGGTGACACCTGCTTACTCCTGGGAAGGGCCAACTCATCCAGTCCTTCAAGGTCTGCACTGTACAACTCTAGGGAGTGAAATTTCCATGTGTGGAATGTGGTAGCCCTGTTGCACTATATACCCATTTTGGCCTGCCTCTATTATTTGTTGTCCTGAACTTTACAAGTTATTAAAGTAACAACAAATCCATCCCTTGCTTAAAGAAAGTGAGAATTCTGACAAGACATGAAGTAGGAAAAAAAATTGAATTAATATGATCTTAAACATGTATAATAGTCACGTCTAGGTGAGAAAACAGTGATATTTTCTTATTCTGGCTTCTAAATTTAGAACATAATACTTCATGAGAAAGAAAATTTTGGGGTAAGTATAAGAAAATAATTGATGGTAATGAAATGAAGAGTCACAAGGAATGGGAGAAATAACTAATGGATTTAGAAATTAATGAGACTGATTTTTGAGATGTTGACATGAGCTGAGTGGTGAAAGGCATGGAAGAGTCAAGATACATCATGGAAAGAATATTGATCTTGAAGTCTGAAGATGTAGGTTCAAATCAGCCATGCTGACTGAGTTGGGTGATCCTAGGTAAGTCACTTAGAGCATAATATCTGGTTTGTCTTCTGACAAAGTTGTTCTGTGAATCATGCAAAATAATGTTTGTAAAAGAAAATCTGAAAGAGCAATGTTTTAATCAAATAAGAAATACTAACTGAATAAGAATAAATAAAAAGTGAAGAAATATAGGAAACAATTCAAATTTTTATACTTGTTATATTCATTTTCCAGATCTACACATGAATACAAAACACAAAATATCCATTCACAGAAGCTGCCTTTTTTTTGCCCTTCTTGCTTGTAAATGTGATGTCTTAGGCAGGTCCCTCTCTCTTTGCTTTTTACATTACTTAATTTATTCACTTAAAGCACAAAATATCCATTCACAGAAGCTGCCTTTTTTTTGCCCTTCTTGCTTGTAAATGTGATGTTTTAGGCAGGTCCCTCTCTCTTTGCTTTTTACATTACTTAATTTATTCACTTAAAGTATTTATCATATCATTAAGATGACCCACTGGCTCAATATTTAGAGATGATTTACTGGCTCTGTACTAACCTCCATTCCACAATTAACAATAAGCCATCTCAAACTAGATTAAAGGCAGTAGAACATTGTGATTAAAATATAGGCTCTGCAGTTTGAATGCCTGAGTTCAAATTTCAGCTGTGCCATTTTCCAGTTATTTGACCTATAAAAGTGACCTGATTTCTCTATACTTTTTTTCCTCATCTATAAAATGAGTTATTACCTCACTCATAGGATTTTTTGTGAGTATGAAATTAGTTAATATTCTGAGTAAAACTCTCAGAATCACCTCTGACTTAATGTAACACAAAACAAATATGAGCAATTTATTATGATGATTAGGATATTAAAGATGGGTGTCTGGCAAGCAATTAAAAGCCAACATGTTTTATTCTCTCTCGATGCCTATTCTCTATATGGCCAACTTTTAAAATACCAGTCATCTTTCCAGTCAAAGCTGGAATACTGCCTCCTCTTCTTGATACCTTTCCTAATGATTCCAGAGTGAAAAGTACTCACTCTCTCATATATTCTATTGTTACAGTATTTTCAACTTATTAAATTGCATTTTTTACATTATATATTACATTATACTATTTAACATGTTTTTGATCCCTTACTAGATTGCTCCTTATTGTCCAGAAATAGAGTCTTTATTTTTACACTCTAGTAGAGTACAACATATCTTATACATAGTCAATGATCACCAAGTGTTCAGCTTAAACAACTGAATTTCTGGCCCTTTTGTTTTTGACACTGGTATATATTTAGGCAGTATGTATATAAACAGATTCTGACTATATACACACTTGATATGTTTACAGTTTCTATTGAACCTATTATGTAGGAAGTGTCTTACATACATACAAATCCAGTAATTTAAAAAATCCATTTTAATAAAAATTATCATCTTCAAATTGCAAAACCATGTTGGAGATACTTAAAATGTCTGATGATCCTGCAGGAAATATAGGAAGTGTCTTACATACATACAAATCCAGTAATTTAAAAAATCCATTTTAATAAAAATTAACATCTTCAAATTGCAAAACCATGTTGGAGATACTTAAAATGTCTGATGATCCTGCAGGAAATAGGCAGGGACTACTTATTTAGCTTGAATAAAGGAAAGAAGTTTCAGAAGTCACCTGAGAGAAAAAAAATTACAAGTTAATTGCAGATCTATAGGTTCCCAAAGTGGGAACCTACTCAAAGTATTGGCTACTGAAAATCTGTTTTCTCTTCAAGGGGCAGTTTACATTATTCAGAAGCTATACTGTTGTTTCTATTTCTGAGTTTTGTGTTTTTAATCTTTTGATATGATAGTTGACTTTCAGATCTAGTGAGGTCTAATCAAAAATTATTAGACATATCCAGCTAGATAAGAGACCCAAGAGATCCAGAAGCAGTGTGATATTATTATTTCAAAAAGTATTTGCTGTTATCATGTAACTCAGAGAAACTGAAAAGATTTCACCTTTTAGTTATTATTACCATTTTAGTTACACGAACTTCTGGTGCTTTTCCTTTTTCTGATATTGTTTTTATTTTATTTATTTATTTTTTCTAATTTTATTCTGTTTGAAACCACTGGAGATAAATTTAATTAACACTAGAAGACACATCTGGAACTTTCAAAATCAGTTTCTGTACCAAGGCCCAGGTCATTTTTATTGTAAACACTTGTACACTTTGGTTAACAGAAATTCAGGTAGGCAAAACCGGATCCTTCCATTTTAACCTTCACAGCAACCTACGAAGTAGAATTTCTTAACCATTTTATAGATGATTAAAGTGAGCAGTTGGTAACTTTTTCAACGTCCCTGGGCTAGCAAATGGCTAAGGAAACTGTAAGAAGTTAAGCAACTACCAAGGATCAGAGCAAGTGTGGCTCTAGGACTGAAGCTCTTGCCTCTATGCCATTCTGCCTTCTTACAAGGTATTACACAAAGCAAGTTTAGAGACTATAACACAGTCATTTTTGTGATATGGATGAAAGTTGCTGACATGTGTTCACGTTTTCATTTAAAGATTAAGGACTTAGAAAACAACGATTAACTGTTACCGACTCCATAAACTATAGACCAAAGTTAATTTGAAGACAGTTAATTTTATTTTCCGAACATACACTCACTATTCATCACATGACTGACAGCAGCAGCTCTGTAAATGTTTTATGCTCAGAGCCTGAAAATCCACAAAACTCACAGTACTCCGCAGTTTTTTTTTCAGGGTTTACACATAGCTCAATTGAATGGAGTCATATATTGTCATTAAAGTCATTTACAACCACCGTGACTTAATATCACCAATATCTAGACTGTATTTTGTATTTTTTCTTTCCAACTACTGCCTAAGCACGTGAACGTGAATAACCCACTCCAGTCCCATTTACTTTTCTTAAGTTCATATAGTTAACACTATCCTCCCTTGCTTCGTTTTTTAAAGCATTTCCACATTTTCCTCTAACACTTATCCGTAGGGTCTTGCAACAATAAAGTGAAACAAACTTGTTCAAGTTCCTGTACTCTTCAGTTGCTTCCCCGGAAAAAGAAAAACAAACAAACAAAAAAATACTAGTCTTTTATAGCTGTACGCTGAGACTTAGCAAAGGATAACGGTCCTCGATGACAGTGCCAAATAGAAAACAGGTGAATGGTAAACTCATCTCGCCATCCTGCTCGCTTCTCCAGACGCCCGAAGGCGCCCAGAGACAGGCGACAGCGACATTCCTGCCGCTCCCGGAGCCCGGCAGGCCCCGATCCTTCCACTCTCCCAGTCGGCTCAAGGCCGAGACGCCGTTTGGGGATACAAGAACAGGGCGCTGAAAAGTCTTCCGTCTGTCCCGCAATGTCCCACTTGAGGGGCAGAAAAGGGAAACCGAGGAGACAGAAGGTTCCGCTCCAAAGAGGCTGAGACGAGGCCAGTGGGGTCACGATAAAGCAGGCTAAAAGGCAATCAAACTATCCAAGACAATAACGAGGTGAGAGTGACAGGGTGGAACCAATGGGGGGCCGGGGGCTCGCGGCTCCGCGCATCCCGCTGCAGGCCCCGGGGGTTAAAGGGCGCCGGCAGGGAAGCGGCGAGCAGATTGGCTCGTGGGCGGACGCGCAGGCGCCCGCTGTAGACCTTGGGCGCGCCGCAGCCCTGTCTGCGGATTCTTAGGGCTACTCACCAAGGCCTGCGAATCGGCCGCCGGTAGGGAGAGAGTCGGCCGGCAGAGGAGTTGCAACGGGGAGTGGGGAGAAAACCTGCGGCCGCCTCGCCGCTACTCCAGCCAGTCCCGCCTCCCAAAAGGCGCGCGCGGGGCGTTCCGGGCCCCCAGGGGCGGAGCCAGTGGGAAGGGGCGGGGCTCTAGTTCCGCGCAGGTCCAGTAGTGTACAGACGGGAGGGGCCGGGTGAGAGGAGGGAGAGCATTTCTTGACAGCTAGGACAAGTGGAGAAAAGGGCGGAGTGGGGTCAGGCTGGACTCCCTTCCTCACCCTTCTTAGAAACTGTCTTCTAAGGCTCAGCTGGGAAGCTCTAACAGTTTTGTTTTGTTTCGTTTCGTTTTATGATGAGAGGCCTTCAAAAGTTCCTTTTAACTCGCGTATACTGGTTGTTTTCAAACTTTTTAAGTTGAGGAATCATTTTTTTTTTTTTTAATAAATGGAACTTGACTTGGAAATATTTAACTCGCGTATACTGGTTGTTTTCAAACTTTTTAAGTTGAGGAATCATTTTTTTTTTTTTAATAAATGGAACTTGACTTGGAAATATAAGGTGGACAAAGATGACCCTTTTAATTTGCAAACGTATAAAATCACATTTACACTGAAATTCTTAATAGAAACAATTAAGAATAAGGCAGGTGTGAAGAGTAAGAACTGTTAATAAGATTACAGTTTGAAGGTTTCCATCCTACATCAGCCTCAGAAGTCAAGAGAATTCTATATTTTGTTTTTGTTACATAGTAACAGGGAAATCCTGACTCACAGGCTAGAACTTCCTGATGTGAGCATTTTGTAACTCTCCTTAAAATTTCATAGGACTTTTAAAACGAATTTTAATTGTGAAATATACATATATGAATATATCCCATATGTGCACATTCTAAAGAAAAATAATAAACAATACCCAGGTACTCGCTACAGAGCTTAAGAAATAGAAAAATATCAGTATTTTTGAAGCCTTCCAGAAAGGCCTCTCCAAAAGCATCTCCTTCCTTCCCATCAGCATTATGCCGGAATTTATATTATTCATTACCNGTAAATAATATTTATTTATATAGTTTAAATATTCTCTTGTCAGTTATAAGAGGGTACTTCAAAAAGCTGGTGAAAAAATAGAATTAAAAGTTAATACTAATCTTTCTATGAACTTTTGGAAGTACCCTAGTATGTGTTGCAAATATCTTCTCTTAGTTTGTAAATTGTCTTTTCAGTTTTTATGGTGTATTTGATGATCAAAAGCTTTATATTTTGTGTACTGCTTGTTGAATTTAGCAATATTTTACATTATAATTTTATGCTTTTTGCTTTCTTGCTTACAATATTATTCCCAACTTGGAATCATAAACCATTTTCTTTTACTTTCTTTTAAAACTTTTAAAGTTTAATTATGAAATATTTTAGATACAGAGATGGACAAACACTAACATAATGAGCACCCATACAGTCAACTCTATGTATTCAAACATTTTGCAAGCCCCTCTATTTTATTATTATTTTCTAAAAGTGCCTTAGTTATTCTTGGCTCTTCACTCTTTCACATAAATTTCAGGATAGCTTTTCAGCCAGTTTTTGATCCGATTTGAGAATTGAATTTATAGATTATTTTAGGAAATGTCTTTTTATCCATGATCATGGTATATTTACCCTTTTATTCAGGTCTTTTATGTTCTGTAATACTTTGTAATTTCATTTATTAAATTTTTAAACATTATTTTATTATCTAGGCTTCTGGATTCTATTGCTAAAATTAAAGATATATTTCTTTAAATTACATTTTTCTAATGGATTATTAATGTTGTATAAAAAGGGCATCAATTTTTATATATTGGTCTTATCTCCAGAAGCTTTGCTAAATTTTTGTTTGTTTGCTTTATTTCTTTGTTACATCTCTGGATGTTCTATATAGGTAATCATAGCATTTGTAATTAAGAATATTTTCTCCTTTCTTTTTCTCTTCTTAAACCATTTATTCGTTTTTCTCTTATTTATTAGCAGGAACTCTAGTATGATGTTAACTAGAAGTAGTGTTAGCATTTTTCTCATTTCTCACTTTACTCCAATGCTGCTGAAGTTTATCACGAAGTACAATGTTTACTGTGGGTTTTCGGTAGATACTTTGTCAAGATTATTAAATGTTCTATTTCCAGCTGAATTTTTTTTTTT